ATATATATATATATATATATATATATAATATGCAAAAATCAACTAAAAGATCAATAACTATAGACATGAACCCGAAATATTAACACCTCAATGAATTTAATATCGAGAATCTTAAAATTTTTAATCAATTAAAATTAAAGTTTAGGTCCGCCTCTGCTGGAACTAGGTAGTTTCCTTGATTAGATGACTTGACAAAATATTTTCTTCATTATTAAATTACTTGAGAATTTTCCTTTGTTTCTACCCCTTTTTTACTCCCTCAAAGTCAATTGACTTGCTTGCTTTGTAGTATTTGTGTACACACGGTCAAAATTCATATAAATACTTCCAAAAGCATTGAGCTTGAAACACAAGTTCTAAAATTAAAGCTTTTAAAATTATTACTACTTTTTTCGTATAGAAATTAAGGTTTGTAATATAATATGGCAGCACTACTCTCCAACAACTCTATAAGATCCATAGTGATTACACTTATGATCTATGCTATTTTCTTAGCTCCCTTGCTACTATGGTCATGCGATGCATCTCGAGGTATCATAATTTATGTGACATAATATGAATTCATGAATCTAAGCAGATAATATTAGATACATACATTTAAATTTTAGATTCATCTCTGAAGTTAGTTCACATATGTGTTTTTTTTCTGTATGCAGAACTCGCGTCAAGCAAGTTTCCACCACGTGTTGTATGTCTTCATTGTGTGGGGTGTTGTGAACCTCCACCCCCAGGTACTTGTTGTACCCGCTGTGGTTGTTGAAGTTTCTCTTCTCTACATGTCAGAATTGAACAAGTTTGATCAGCAATTGGTGTGACTTTGATTAATTATACGTACATGTTATTCAATAAAGAAGGAACTTATTGGTTTCTTTAGGTTGATTATAGGAGTATTATTATGTGTACATTGTGGGGAACAATGTGTTTGTAACGTTTTGTAATTCAAGTTGATAAATTACGACAAGGAAAGCCTGAAGTTTTATCTATGTGCGGAGTGATGGTCCAATTTAATTTACCGTACGAATTATTTACGTAGAGAGAAATTAATGTGTCGATTTTATAGCAAATAAAGGACATAAACATAATGAAAATTTGATAATCCGGAGAAATACGTTCAAGAGTATGGAGTTTCCTCTCCGGACATATCAAAGTGGTATTGTTTTGTTTTTAAAGATTGTAATTTGTAAACCTTTTTTAATCTGTTCAGTGCACAAAAAGTAAAAAGAAAAAAAAAACAGAGTTTAAGAAAAGGGCGAAATGGTCTCCTTGACGTGTTTTTCTGATTTATTTGGCAAAAAGGTGGAAAAGAGGAGACTAAAATTAACATATGCGATATGAAATTATGGTATAAAATTAAAATTTTGTTTGAAAATGCAATACAAAATTATCAAATGAACAAAATAAAAGTCATAAATAAGATATCAGAATAAGACACTACATTGATAAATCACATGTTTTAATGTTCTTTTTTATGAATAAATGTTTGTAATTGCAAACTTTCAAATACACATAATTTTATAAAGATCCATTAGTCAACAGTAATAATAACTAGTTATTTTTTAATATAACTACTTCACATGATATAAACAATCTCTTTACACTGACTTTGAAATATGAAATTATAATTTTATATCACATATCCAAATTTTGACTTAAAATCATAATTTCTAATTATAATATGGAATCGCATCTCCAAACTGAGGCTTTAAATGTGGCAGCTAGCGTGACGAAAAATTAAAGGACATACAAAGTCATTTGACTAAGATAAGATAATAATATGAAATGAACTGTTCTGTATCATCCTATTTATTTGAGTAAATTTCTTGAAGTTGAATTAAAACATTGAGTCATATGTCATCTGAGATTTAACTAACTAATCATCAAAGTCTTTCGACTAAAATAAGAATATAAACTATTCCTCATATCCATCCTATTTAATTAAACTTCCTCAAGTTGAATCAAAATCAACATTGCGTATGCAGAATAAATAAATTCCAATGCATTAGTTTAGTTTTAGAGCATGTGCACTCAATTAAATATTTTTTCCTTCATATCTTTCATATTCTCTAAGCTTATTGATAAGTAAGGGATATTCATGGTACATCACATTGAATAAACAAATCTGCTCAAATAACAAATTTGGTATTTGGGCATTCGAAGAGGCAGTAAAGAGCAATCTAGATGATATTTTATTTTCCCTTTTGGTATAATGTAGACTAGACAAGTTGAGTATGAAAAGCAATAATTTTATAATTAAGATGATGATTGTAGCTTCCTTGTAAACATGTCTAAGAATCTTAAAAAGTTAAGCACGGATAACTCCTCATCAATAGTTGTTAAATTTTATCACAAGAATACAAATAAGTTGAGTCGGCTGTATGAATCCTTAAATCCGCGTTAGTGAGAATTGACACATACAGAAAATATCACAAGGACAGCCATAGACCATAGGTAAGAAGATACTTAGCACCAAGTTGCATTAATGATTCCTGCAGACTGAAATTGACTTAGCAACGCATTTGAATCAGAAAATGTTACGGGGGTTGGCTCCTTATCATCCACATGAAAGAAGAATCGATTTTTCCATGAAGTCATAATTAAGAGTATCAAACGTTCATTAAAATAGTACTATCTACTTTGACAATGAAGAAGCATTCATGTCAAGAGGTCAATGTGTTCGTAGGGAAGGAAAATATTTTCTTGAAAAACATTATCATAAAAGCATCTATATATAATTTTGACAAATACTACGAGAGGTGGAATTGGAGTAGGGGTGTGGAGCGGTGGGAATGAGGTTACTGAGGGTGAGACTGAAGATGAGGTATGTTTTGAAAATAGGGAGGACATAATCAATATAGAATGCCCCTTGTTAAACTTGTTTTCCCTACTACATGAAAATCATTTTCCTCATTTTTAATGAACTTGTTTTCCAAGGAAAAAATATTTCCTAAAAGTTTTGACCAACCGAAGATGAGAAAATGTTTTCCTCCGTACCAAACACCCCCCTGAAAAAACAGCAACTAAAGCTACAAAGAAAATCATCTCAAAAAAAGAAGCTACATAGAAAATCAAACATTGATATCTAATGTTACACACATGTATGTGTGCTCTTTTCTTCTGTTTCCTTTTGCTAATAAAAAAATTCTCAGTATATATAACTTCCATGGAAGAAGCTGCACTAGTTTTAATATTTGTAGGACTACATACAGTAAACAACTGCATAACATGTTGCTATGATTTGATTCCCATCATGAAGGATCAAACAACTATAGAACCTAGGCTACCTCTAATGATGTAGAGGGGCAACAAAAACTGGTAGAAGTTAGAAGAAACTAACTGATGCTGATCTCTTGCGAACTGGTTCTTTAGAGCGAGATCCTTTCAAAACTTCTGCATATTTCGCCAACTCAGATTTATGAACATTTTCTTGGTCATGGTTATTTCCTTTTTCTTGAAGTGATTCAGCGAGACGTTTTGACATATAATCTAAAGAGCCCACATCACTGTATCTCCTTGTACGTGTCGGATAGTTTCTGCTTTCTCCTTTATTGGTTGTAGCGCCTTGATCAAATGAATGGAAATCTATAAATTTTTTGGATGAACCTGGAGATGGTGTTCTTGATCTGCTCTGGGGCCTAATAGCTCCGGTATCTACGACAGACATATCTGAACAGTACCCAGAAGAACAATAAGAGCATCTTGCTGCATTCTCTTCAGTGCTGTGAACCATTTCTGAATGATTATGATGATGGTCCTTTCCCCGTATTAGTCTCATAAGCTTACGAAAGATTTTGCTTTTGTTTGAAGTGTCAGTCTTATGGGCTGAAGAATTAGCAATAGAAGTACCATCAAACTCACCCGAATTCATAAGATGTGGTTCTTGGGAGGATAACTGGTCAGAATCAAGATCCAAAACATGGATTCCCCCGTCCCCTTGGTCTTCTTTAGCTGCATATTCAACAACTAGTTGCTTGGCTTTATTCCTAGAGTTGGGGCTTAACGTTTTACTGAGATCCCTTGCAGTTGTTTCGCCTAGGGCAGGCTGATAGTTCCTCAGCTCATATCGCAGGCAAGCATTTATCCATTTAAGATAGGCTACTTCGTCATCATCACTGTAGCGACCTTCTTGAATGTGATCAACTTTCTTTACTAATTCTTCATTTTGCTTTCTCAGCTGTAGACTTTCTTCTTTCAGTGCTTCTGCCTGTGTCAGAACAAAGGTCAACAAAAACACATGAAATAAACAAAGTTGATGAATAAAAGACTTACTAATACATTCTCTTCCAGAGCAGAAATGGCAAAGAGCTGAAGATAGTCCAGTTTATCAGCTACTGTCGAGTTTTCCGCTCTTAAGCTTTGGTTAGATTTCCTCAACTCATCAGCCTCGATCTCCAAGTCCTTCAGCTTTTGGAGCTCCAACTGAACATCCGATTCAACTTGAACAGGATTCTTCTCCTCGTTCTGCAGCTTCGAAACTCCTTCATTAAGGGATAAAATCTGTTCCTTATTATGATCAGCTTCCAACCTGAGCTTCTTTTTCAGCTGCTTTATTTTCAAATTCGCAGCTTCAAGGTCTGGGACAACCTTTGCAGAATCAGCCACTTGAGCCTCTAATTTCATAATCTCTGCTTTCAAAGACTCGATCTTTAGACCCAAATGCCTGTCCTCCAAATTGTGTATCTTGACGCGATTTTGAAGCTCCATGATGGCCTTTTCTTGCTCCTTGCAGCCATAATACTCGAGCAGTTGGATCTCACGAGTCCTCTCCCTTTCTTTAAGAGTTTTAACAATATTCTTCAGGTTCTTAATCTCTTGCTCATGGTCCTCCCTTCCGACAATCTTGTATTCCTTGGGTGAATCTGTGCCCTGCAGCGGTGTTTCAACATCCTCACATGGTGAAAATATAGCCTTTGGAGGCGAACCGAATTCCTTTACAAGTTCATTGATCTCCGGCAGAAGAAGCCCATCTTTGTCTCCACCAGACCTACAATTTGTAGATGGGTTTCGTATAGAACTCCCAATAATGATTTTTGGTATGGAAACATCCTCCTGCAATAGAAAAGAAGGAATTAGCTCACAAGCAGGACAACCGATCAACAATCTGTTAATAGGGAAGCATTCAAGACAACTTCAATTCACAACTATGTGCTTTATTTTTCCGAGTTCTCCAAAAGTAAACTATATTAAGCACATCCAAAGCAGAATTAAAACGAAAACAAACAGAAATAATCATCCTTGTGAGCAATTAAACAATTCAAAGTTACAGAACTACATGAGCGCTGCAGTCACTGCTGTTTTCTTCCACCGTAGATAAAAAAAAAGTGAAAATCAGATGAAACTAGATAGCAGGAGTTATACTGCAATGACCCATCACAACTAAGACAAAAATCATAATGGTTGAAATAACTTATAAGAAGCTCTACCACCACCAACAACAACAACATACCCAACGTCATCTCACAAAGTGTGCTCTGGGGAGGATAGAGTGTACACAAACCTTACCCCTACCTCCGAGGTGAAGAGGCTGTTTCCGAAATATATAGGAAACTCAACCAACTTTAATTAATCATTTCCACAGTCTCTAATTTAAGTCCTATCAAAGCAATCTATTACCAACTAAATATATATAATCAGAGAGTTGTTCTTTCAATTCCAACAACATTTTAGCTTAAAACCTAAAAAATAGGTAAGAAGTAAGAACCAAAAACATCAAAATAAGAACCATAGGGCTTATCAAACGAACTTACATATTTCCATGGAAACTCTGAAACTGAATTCCCCGAGGCAGGGTTTGTCTGATCATCATTTTGCCGCTCACCTGTTTTAAAATCAAACCAAAGAAAAAAAAGAGGGAAATAAGTCCAACTTATAAAAAAAAAAAAAAAAAAAAAAAAAAAGGAGAAAGAGGAAACATAGCAACAAAAAGGTGTGATTTTTTATGGTTATGAAGTTGAGGGGTTAACCTGAATTGGATGAAGAAGAGGAA